TTATGTAAAGATTTTCAGCTGTGGAAACTCTCTGGGGCAGTTCTAGTCGGTCCTACAGAGTCGCTATGAGTTGGAATTCCCTCAAAGGGATGGGTTTTGGATTGATGGAGAGGAAGTTGGACTAGGGAGGAGGTATGGATGACTTCCGGGTTTCTCAGTTGGATGTTGAGTGGATAGAGGCCGAGTAGATTGGCAGAGACTAGCAAGGTCGGTGGTTCAAGCTCAACACCTGATCCTTGGAAACTCTATACAGGGTCACTATGGGTCGGAATCGATTCGACAGCACTTAACAACAAGAGAAGGGAACCTGTTGATTTTGAGAAGTCCATCGGGATCGGTAAATTGGGGGGGGGAAAGCCCCATCCTTTCCAGACCTTCTGTGAGAGCATATGAAAGGCTATATGGGAGCTGCAAAAGAGTTCGTTGTTATTGTAAACGAAGTCTGACTGAGAAAATGCAACTCGAAGCCCAAACACACCCGTCACCAGGTAACAAGCCGATGCGCATGCGTAAACATCGGTCGGCGTCGGACACCACCTTCGATTGTCACAGGAAGGCGGCGGGCTCGGCGCATGAGCACTCGCCTTCTGACTGTCGGCAGACGTTCGGTTCTAACGGAAGGGTCGATGGTACGCGCCTGCGTCACGGCCCGCTCGCCTGGCTGAAAGCGGGCATCGCCTGTTCGAGTCCGAGCTTGTCTCGGGTCCTACTTGAAGAAGCCCTCCTCTTCCCACACCCTGAAGCAAGAAAAGGCTAGAAGATAGAGCCGGCGTAACCGGGTCGACGTCCCGGGGCGGCTCTGAGCCACCCGTTCGGGCAGGTGGGCGAGGGGCGGGGCGGGGGCGGGACTATGGGACGAGGCAGCGGGAGACTGGACGGAGGGTGGGCGGGGCGGTGTGAGACGGAGGGCGTGGCAATGGATGGGCGGGGAGAGGGGCGGGCGGGACGGTCGGGTCAAGGGCAAAGCAGGAAGCGGGGAAGCGACTCAAGGGCGAGGATCGTGGCTACTCTGGGCGTGGCAAGGCCGGGGTTGGGTTGATATGTGAAGCGGGGCAGTAGGGGTGGGGTGGGGAAGGGGCGGGGCGAGTTGGGGGCGGGACGACCGCTTGCTTGGCACGAAGGTGAGGGCGGGACTAGTCCTGGGGCGGAGCCGGGGCGGTGCGTGCTGACGCGGCGGTCGGACACGTAGACGGCGCAGCGACCGGAGCCGGATGTGCCAAGATGGCTGCTACCGCTGCCGTTCCTGCGGTAGTTACAACAGCCGGGTGGACTCTCCCCCGCAGCTCCTGAGGGGCCGGCCGACGTCGGCGGTGCTGCGGGGAGGCCGAGAGGCGGGCGGCGGCCTCAGCCGGCCTGCCCTGGTAAGCAGACGAACGCGGGCCGCGGAGGGGCAGGCCGGCCGGCCGGAACGACGCTGCGGAGGGAGGGCCAGGGGGCCGGGGCGAGCCCGGGCGGCGCTCATCTCAGAGAATGATGCCTGCCGAGCGCCGGGACCTGGCAGCGGCCCCGGGCTCTGTGTGCCGCCCACCGGATCAGGACGGGGTTGGGGACGTGGCCCAGCTTAGGGGCGGTGTTGCTCAGTCTTTCGCCCTCTGCACCTTTGTTGACTTAGACTCCAGGTTGACGTGGACCACAGTGTGACCGGGCCCTTGACAGGTGCCTGACCAGCTTGGTTGTGTGGACAATGCTAGCGATGACGACTTTCCTGTCGACCTGTGTTAGGATGGCTGGACTCCGGACCCCTGGCAGCTCCATTTAGACGCTACAACTTTGTTTAAAGGGAGAAGCATTGAGGAAATTAATAACGAGCGTCCTTTGCTTTGAAGGTTCTGAAGATGTTTGTCCTTCTTGGTTGAAAGATTCCTACTTGGCGAGAGTTCTAATTTCGAGACAGGGTGACGTTTTGTATCAAGGGTCAGAGGAAGGTGTTGATCCTCTTGCCCTGTTTGTGACGAAAGTATGACAGGAGAGGTTTTGGACCCCTCGGCGCTGTTTTGAAATCAGTTTGTGCCGCTTCAGTCACAAACGCCTGTAAATGGCTTGGAGACGGAGCCTGGATTGCTCACGATGATTTTGTGTTCTGTGACACTAAAGAGCCATGTCAGGAATGACAGACAGTTGTCCCTGTTGTTTGTATGTTTGTTAGTTATGTCCTCTTCTCTCTTAAAGCTCAGGGTACTGGTATCTTGCAAAGATAAGGCAAGAGTGACTCATTTACCTTAATAGCAGCTACTGCAGGAGCCCTTGTGGTTTAGGGGGTTAGGCATTGGGCTGATAACCACAAGTTCAGCAGTTCAAGTCCACAAGCCGCTCCTTGGGAGAAAATGAAGGCTTTGTATATATAACCATGGACCGTGGACAGGGTCATTAGGAGTCGGAAGTGAGTCGACAGCCCATAATCACAACAGCACTGATTCTAGAAACCATAGGAAGGTGGTGTGTGGAGGTTAGCACAATTCCTTCTCTTGTGATCTGTGAGGGTGTCCTTTGGGGCTATTGGGGTCGCTCTTAGCAGTATTTGAATTCCTTCATTTAAATGTCTAAATGTATCTGATCGGTGTTCTGAATGTAGAAAGGTGGGAGCTGAGAGTACCTGTCTTCACAGGCTCCTCAAATCTCCAGCAAGCACTTTGACAGGGTGCACCTGCATCGGTCATGGTGACGGGGAGCAGAGGCAGAGGGCAGACGGGCAGCTGGTTGCTTACAGCTTGAGGCCAGTGACCCTGGAGGAGAGGGGAGTCTTCGGTTGGTAGTGAGAAGGACAGTGAAGCTGCGGCATGCATGCATACACATTTCACAGAGTCCACTTCGACTCCTAGCTTCCCTGTAGGACAGAACTGCCCCCAGGGTCTCCAAGACTGGTAATCTTGGTGGGAGCAGAAAGTCTCTGCTTTTTCCCACGGAGCAGCTGGTGAATTTGAACTGCCGACCTTGCAGGTGTCAGCCCAACACATTTCCCACAGCAGCACAGGGACCCTTGCAGATAAATACGAGGGTGTTTGATTGAAGAGCTGGGTTCACAAATAGCACACCTTTGAGGAGATCAGCAGATCTCATCAACACAGTCGGCCTTTTCAAACGCTAGGGGCCTTTCCAAAGTGAAGTTCCCAGGGGTGAGATAAATGGCATGCAGTTTCATTGTTTTTCTGATGATGGAAAAGAGAAATAAATCAGAAGAAAACACAAGATTGTTCCGGTCAAAACTGGCATACTGCAATTGGGAGCTTAAATTTGTAGTCAAGTCATAGTGCTTGGTTCAGTAGAACGGAGAAAGTATTTTTAAGAAAGTTTCTCCAAGGGAAGCGTTCAAGTATGAAACTGACATTTTGATTCTGATAAGATTTCTGTATTAAACAGCAGTAGAGACCCAGAGTCCACTGTGACTAGAAGCTCCTAGGTGCAGCCCAGAAGGTATCGAAGGACGGGGTCATCACCATTGTCTCCTCTTACAGATGCAGAGAAGTAGCACGCTGAGTCACTCAGCTTGCCCCCAGACTTGCCACCTTGCTGGCACGTGACACCTGAGGAATTCCTCCTGCAGTCTGTCATAGCAGAATTCTTTAAAGGTGGCCGTCCTCTGCTGCTGGCTCTCCACGGAGGCCTCTGGTAGCCTGGTGTGGCGCCGCAGCTGGTTTGAGGAACGGAACAGAACGCAGCAGGGAATTCTGGGAAGAAATCCCACCCAGTCTACTTGTAGGCCTTTGTCTGGAGGCGATGGATACTACAGATGTTGCGATGCATGCAGCCCATCGAGGTTGAGGGGACTTTTAGGTGCTGTGAGTCAGGAAAGCAGCCCTGGCGGCATAATGGGTTACCCATTGTGCTGTGAAGCACAAGGTCAGCAGTTGACATCCACCAGCTGCTCTGAGGGAGAAAGGAGGCTTTCTGCTCCCATAAAGAATCATACTTTTGGAGACCGTACAAAGAATGGCTCTAAGTCAGAACCAAGTTGATGGTAGTGATTTGAGTCAGTCAGAAAGGGCCCCGTGCAGAGCACAGTGTGTGTTTGGGCCACCGCAGACGTAAAGGATGGACCGTAGTCACAGGGTGAGCTTTTGGAGGGAGGTGAGTCCTTCTTACAGACCTCGGGCAGCACTTCCTCAATACGGGCAGCGTGAGTCCTGGGTGTTGGTTCGTCTCTTGGTTCACATCATCGGTTTGTGTGTGGGCACAGGTGAAACTAAAGATGCAGTTCTTGGACTTTTGTTTTAAAAGCACAGGTTAGCTGTTCAGGACCATGTTTGTGTTTTAGTTAAAAAGAAAATAGCCAAATCCCACTATAAAGAAGATTTTTGCCTCTTTGTTTTTTGCCTAGAGGTTTGCTGGCAGACAGCTCTTCCTGCTGAAGCTTCGCATTACCTCCGTGGCTAGTGGTATTCCCACACCTTAAATCCATCACTGTGTAAAAAACGAGAGATTTCGCCTGCTGAACAAAACGCATTGTAGATGAATCCATTCCAGAGATTTGCTTTGTAGATTCTATTCCAACATCCAATCGTACTCTTTCACTCAAGAATATGGCAGAGTGCCTTGTAAGGTTTTGTTTTCTTCAGGAGATTTTAAATGACCCTGTTTGAAAAGTGTGCCCATGCCAGCTTGCTGTCTCAGGAGTGAGGTTGGCTCGTTCTGGACCTAGTGAGAATTTGTGGGAAATGGGCAGGAACTGTGGAGGCTGGTTGTGTGCTGGCACTCAGATTTGGTAAGGGCGTTCGGAAGGTGATGGGTAACCCATGTGGGTGTTCAGCTAGTTGCTGAACTTAACCCGGAGAGGGGCAGGAATTATCCCAAATCATCTGCAAACCATCCCAGGAAGAGGTGCGCTGGGGGTGGGGGTGGTGCCATGAACAACAGTTCGAATCTTAGTTAAGTGACGGGAACTCTTTTTCTGGCTTCGTAATTTAATTTTCCTGCTTGCAGCTAGAACTTCGAATGTGTGGGTTTGTGGTGTTCATTTGTTTTCTTTCTTTTTTCAGGTCGGATTAAGGAAAGGTGATATCTTGCTTCTTTTTGTAAGTAGCATCTCATTTTGCAAGAAGTAAACCATGCAGCCACCGCCCCAGGCGGCCCCTTCTGGACTGGTTGGACCACCTCCCGTGGGAAACCCTCGAACCGTGTTTTGGCCCAACAGCCCGTATAGAAAACGGACACCCACCAGCACCCCGGTGCCTCCTGTCACGTGCCCCCTGCAGCCGGTGACAGACCCTTTTGCCTTCAGTAGGCAGGTGACCCAAGACACATCCCTGGACACTGTGCCCAGAAGCAGCCTGCCTTTCGTGCCAGGCTGCTCCCCTCCTCCGGGGCTGCCTCCACACGCTTCTCTGGCTACACCTCACACAAGCGCCGGGGGCCCTCAGGGACCATGCCAGCCTGTGCCGGGCCCTTTCCTGCAGCCTGGAGTGGACGGTAGCCATTTCGCCCGTGTGGTGACCCCTCCAGGGCCCCCAGGGACTGAGATGAGCCGAAGTGCAGAGATGGGGTCTAGCTCAACGTCCAATGGTGCTGCCCCGCCGAATCCTCAGTACATTCCAGGAGTGGGTTCTGAAGGCCCTCGTGGAGCAGCGCCTGGGCCCGCCAGACCCCTTGGCAGGCAGAACCCTCAGGATGGGGCCGGGCCCCCAGCCTTGGCCTCTTTCTTCCCTCAGCCACCTCTACCAGCACCAGATTCATGGGTGCCGGTCCAGGGGAGCCCACGGCCTGTGGGCCCGCAGTTCTTGTCCTGCCCCGAAGGACCTGGCCACAGCGCAGTGCCCCGGGCTCCTGGGCTCTCTCATTTCCTCCCTCAGCCCAGCGGGCACCAGGGTCCTAGCCAGGAGCAGCAGTGTCACCCCCTGGCTCTTGTGCCAGGACCCTTGGCCGGGGATGAGAGGGATGAGACCACCTCTCTTCACAGTGGGGGCCACTTGGCCAGTCACTTTGATCCTGAGAACACTTTCAGGCAGAGCCCCCGAGTGGGCCCGGCTTGGGCAAATCAGAGCTTTAGGCAGACTCCAGAAGAGCAGCACATGCAGTGCCCCCCAGGAACGGGGGGTACACGCGCCAGGTGTCCCCCAGGTGGGGAAATGGAAAACGAGGAGGACCTTTCTGTGAAGAAAGCCAGCTCGGGGGCGTCGTCTGCCTCCGAAGGCCCCAGGCCCGGCCCCCCTCCGGCACACTTGGGTCCCCACGGTGACACCACACAGACGCTAGAGAACCTTCAGCCCTACTTTCCTCAGTGTGACCAGCCCAGCACGGGGCAGGCGGCTGTAGAGGTGTGGGGGGGCGTGGCAGGCCCCCAGTGTGAGAACGTCGAGAACCTGGAATTCATCCAGAACCAGGAAGTTCTGCCAAGTGAAACCCTAAATGACCCGTTCCGGTATGGGGCTCTTCCTGGCGTCGGGGCTCCAAACTGGGAGACCCCTGAGGCTGCCCTGCAGCCTGCGAGACCTGATAGCGGGTCATCCAGCGGCAAAGGTCACTGGGGGCTCCTGAACGCGGCCAGACCCCAGGAGTTAGCGGGCACCTTTATTCAGCAGGAAGTTGGAAAACCTGAGGAGGAAGCTTCTGGCAATTTCTTTAAGCAAATTGATTCTTCCCCTGTGGGTGGTGAGACAGAGGAGACTCTCAGGAGCCAAAACCGTGGCCACAGCCAAGGTCTGTCCCAGCCCTTAACCCCCAGTCCCCCGAAGCCCACAGGGATATTTCAGACAAGCGCCAACAGTTCCTTTGAGCCAGTGAAATCCCACTTGATTGTGGTGAAGCCAGTTGAGTCGGACCGTGCCAACGTGGTGGGCGAAGTGAGGGGCAGCCATGGCTGTCAGAAGAAGCGGAGACCAACGGCTGTCCCACCCGACGCTTCCCCTGGCAATTTGGAGCAGCCACCTGACAACATGGAGACCCTCTTCACCCCCCTCAGCACTGCTGCAGAAGCTGGGGGGCTGCCTGCCAATACTGTACTCACGACACCTGAGAAGAGGTCTTCAGCCAGAACCCAGGGACCTATGAAGTGTGAGAGCCCAGCTACCACCTTGTGGGCTCAAAGTGAGCTTCCCGATTTGGGGGGAAGTGTCCTTCTGGCCCCAGCTGCCCCTGCACTTTGTGTTCCTGTCAGAGCGCAGGCCTCAGAAGTCATCCAGCCCCCCGACGAGGGGGGCTGTGGACCACTGTCCCAGATGCCAGGATGCGGGTCCCCTATCCGGAGCGGAGATGGCATTGGTGCCTCGGAAAACTTGGAGAACCCTCCCAAGATGGGCGAGGAGGAGGCCTTCCAGTCTCAGGCGAGTTCCGGTTACGCCAGTCTGCTCCCCTCCCCGCCCACGGGCCCCCTGCACTGCCAGCTGGCCTTGGCGGCCCAGCCCATTCACTTTCCCTCATCGAATGCTCACGAGAAGACTGTGCCCCAGCGCGAGCCTCTGGTTGGGGACAGGCTTGCTCTCAGCAGCGAGGCTCTGGGCAGTGAGTCTGGAGAAGGAGCCCCCGTGTTGGCAATTCCATCGCATGGCCTTGTCAACCCGCCCCTGTCCAGCAGTCTCCCCCAGAGTGTTTGCTTACAAGCTGCTAGTCCTGAAACACTTGCTAATCAACCTGCCAATCTGCTGGTCCAACCACCAGCTCTTCCAGTGAACCAGGGAAACCGCGCCACCGAGACTCTGCCTCCCACTGGGGCCTCCGGGGTGGTGTTGGTGCTACCCGCACCTAACCCCTCCAGCAGCCTCGACGAAACTTCCGGAGCCCTAGACTTCACTATACCGAGGACTCTGGGCCCTCCTGACAGCTCAGCTGCTGCTCAGCAGACCCTCACCGGTCATCCCAGACCACCTGGACCTGGGGCACCTAACCCAGACCATTTCTACCAGCAGGTGACGAAGGCACCTCAGGGCCAGAAGGGCCCGGAAAGAGTCCAACCAGAGTCAGGGTCTCTGCAGCAATCACCTCCGGCCCCCCAAGTGCCCAGAACGGCGTTGCCGGAATCTTCTGGCTCAGGAAGCCCACTGGCACCGGGCCAGACTCATGATGCTACCACCCAACCACCAGCAAGTCCTGCACCGGCCGACACTGGTCAGCAGCCTTGGCCGCCTCAGTCCTCCGGCACGTCTGTCACCTCAGCCAGCTCCAACCAGGCAGCTGGGCCATCAGATCTGCAGTGGCCACGTCCCCTGCCCCCAGACTTGTCTTCCTATTACTACTATAGGTCCCTGTATGACACGTATCCGGCTCAGTACCCTTCAGCATACCCGCTGGAGCCTGGGGCAGCACCTCGTTATTACCAGGTAGAGTCTCCTCTCCCGTCTCTGCTCTGGACTGTGGGTGTCCTCCTCGGGCATGCTCTTTGGCAGTAGTGCTCCTGGGTAGTGGGTGTGCTCCACCCTCAGAGGGACGTACACAGTATGGTTAGTCACGTGATCAGATTCCTTGCGCTCTGCGTAGCCTTGCTGTGACCCCCACCTACATCCTGTAGAACCAGGGTTTTACATGGTGTCCTTTGGCAAACTTGATGAGGCCTTGTGCCGCCTTCAGGTGTTTTGGCAGCTGACAGCCAGCGCCGGAGGCATCAAGAGCTGCTTCAGAATGAAAGCATGTAGGGAGCAGAGGCAGGTTGGAGGTGGTGCCTGCATGAAGCAGTGAAGGGTGACACTAGCTCCTCACAGCCTCACAAGCTTGGGTGATGCCAACACTTGGAAACATTGGTCCCAAGGGACACGTGTGTGGGCTTTGGCCTTTAATCCCGCTGGTGCCGAGAGCAGTGTGGTGTGAAGGCCAAGGACCGCTGTCGGACTGTCCAGCACCTCCTATGGAGCCCCTTACCAACCCACAGCCATCCTATAGTACACAGTAGAGCTACCGCATGGGTTTCCCCACAGGATGTCAGGTGTGTTTGAACTGTTGAACTTGTGGTTAGCAGTCCAACACTTACTAACCCACTGTGCCACCAGGGATCCTTAGCCTAGAGGTGTTGGAGTAGCTGCCTAGATGCGCTGGACGGCACTCGTCATCGTGGGCTGAGCTGTGGGGTGGCTGGCCTGCTCTGGGGCTGTCAGTGCCCCTGGCCCGTGTGCGGGAGCAGACACCACATCTGGTGCTCAGCCTCAGGTTTTCTCTGTCACAGGGGGGACCACGAGCACAGGAGAGATCCTCACCCTGTGTTACCCCTGCCAGCAGCCCCGAGTCTGCGTTCTGCCTTGTCTCCCTGTCACTAATGTCCCCAGCAGAGGTCAGGAACGAGGGCAGCCAATGTTCTAGGAGCAGTTGGCGCCCGAGGTTTAGCCTAAGCTCCTGCCTCTCCTGGAGACAGTTGAGGTGGCTCACGAGTGGGTAATGGAGATGGGCGTGGGGGCGGGCACTGCCACAGGACAGCCAGGCCCTGTGTCCCTTGTCTCAGAGAAGCAGAGTGGGGCCCTGGGCATGACCTGACACCCTAGGGTGGGGGTCAGAGGCATCCTGAGCTGGTAACCTGCTGTCTCTTAGCCAGTCACTGTGGGAAGTGTTCTGTGTTCGTGACGGGCCCCCCCAGTCTGGCTCTGTACAGAACGAGGCTTCTGGTGGTCCAAGCCAGAGCAGCCCGCAGCAGAACTTGATGTTACCAAATCTGACTCCAGCAGGATGCCTACAGCTTGTACAGGCCCTATGACAACGCTGCTGCGCCTGCCTACCCTGACAGCTACCGCTGCCCTGAGCCCGAGCGGCCCAGCTCACGAGCAAGCCACTGCTCCGACCGACCAGCACCCAGGTTGGAGCTCTGCACCTGGCGGTGTCTCTTGCGATATATATATAGTGTGTGTGTGTGTGTGTGTGTGTGTGTGTGTGTGTGTGTGTGTGTGTGTATGTATGGGCACATGTGCACATGCATCTCTGGAAGGCGGAGGACTTTTGGGGGTGAAAATTCTGTCTTTGTTAAATGCAGGTGGTCTTTGACTTAGGATGGGGTTTTGTTCTAATGATTCCATTCTAAGTCCTTCTAATATAAATTGAATACTTTTTTTTTCCCCATTATCATTGCCTTTTTTCTTAGATGTTATTTATCTTTTTGCATTATTACTGCCTTTTTTTTTCCTCTGGTGGTATTAAGTGCCATTGAGTAGGTTCCAACTCGTAATGACCCCGCATAGGGTTTACGAGGAGCGGCTGATGAGTTTGAACCCCCGACCTTTCTGTTGAAACCCACCTTGTGGCCCAGGGCTTTATCCCACAGCACAGCCCCAGGACTGCTCGTAGATTTGAGCTGTTGACCTGGCGACTAAGCGGGCCGCTGCGTAACCAGGAACGCTTTTCTTCTAGGTCAGGGCTGGGGGACGTCTGGCCCTGAAATTCAATACATTTAGGAGGTTTTTTTCATAGCAACATACATTTCTATTAAGTGATGGTATCAGTTCTAAGTGACCCTTGCTCTAGCTGGTACTTACGTTGTTGAGTGGTACTTCTTTTCCTGGCTGCTGTCTTTTTAAATCCGATCTTTGGGGCTTGGTAACATTACCTACAGTCTTAGATTTGAATACCTATATCCGTGTTACCAGGGAACGGTATAAGTTAGGAAGCGGCTGGAGAGGCACGGAGTCTTTGCCGCTCGGTTCTTGTGCTGTCAGTGTGGCAGGTTCCGGACAGGCCCTGCCCATCGGTGCCCATCGGGCCTCCAGTCCACTCCTGGGAAGGGGGTCGGCTTCTCCTGCCCCCTGAATGATGAGCTGGGTTTGGGTTTAGGTTTTCCTCGGGCGGCCCCACCTGTACCTGCTGTAGCCAGGTCACCATGCCTGTGCTCCTGGACAGGTGTGTAGGCAGGTGTCCGTGCTGAGGCCTCACCTGCCCCACGTACGCTGCTCCAATGATTCCACTCCTGGGTCTGAGTGTCTTCCCTGAGAGGTTTTACCTGTGTCAGAATGCAGACAGCCCCAGGGAGAGCGGGGGTCCTGCGGGCCAGTGAGTGGGAAGTGATGAGACACTTCCGGAGCTCTGGGTGGCCCTGCGGTAGTGAGAGGTGGTCTGGCCCAAGGGACTGACTTGGGGTCATGACCAGGTTCTGGGGACTCTCTGCCGCCCCTGCTCTCCTGGCGTGTCGGTGAGCTGCCCCTTCCCCGGTGCCCGGGGTGGGTGGACTCAGTCTTCAATGCAGAGCTGTACCAGCCTGGTTTTGAGTTACCTCGGGTTTTCTCAGAGCCCAGCAGTGGTCACACATGGGTGATTGCACTGTGCAGCCAGAACCTCCAGCTCATCCCTCCAGCCCCCTGCTCACGGGGAGGGCTAGGCAGGGGGGCATGAGTAGAAGCAAGTCTTATAAACCAATGTTGTCTAAATTAGAAATGCCGCAAATCTTCCCCTTGGTCAGCTGAGCTCTGTCTAGTGGTTGCTGGTGGGTGATGGTGGGCTCCAGGACACGGGGCTGCAACCCCCAGCCTCCCAGGACCCTTTCCTGAGGGCCACTCTACTGAGCCCACGTGTGGCCTCGGTGCTGCCCCCGTCGTGTCTTCTGAAGGGCGAGGGCTGGGGCGTCGAGGCTGTTGTCTTGTGTGGGCTTACCAGCCCTTTGCATATTTCCAGGCAGGGTTACCAGGACGGGGGTTATCACCCCAAAGGCGGATGGAGCAGTCAGAGCGACTACTATGCCAATTACTACTCAGGCCAGTACGACTACGGAGGTAGGTCAGGGAGGGAACCGCAGGCCCGCAGCCGTGAACGCCAAAGTGTTGCTCCTGCGTGTGCCTCTGTAATCTGCTCTTCCGTCGTTTGTGATGCCAGGCCACTGGGACCGCTACCACTATGGTTCAGGGACGTCTAGGTTCAGGGACGCCGGCCCCTATGACCGGAACTACTGGTACGATGCTGAATACACGCCCTACCGGAAAGAGCCATATGCATATGGCGACAGGTGGGTAAATAGACCCCTGTGAGGAACCAAGAACTGATGCTGTTCTGAGAGGAACGGCCGTCGGGGAGAAGGGCCTGGCTCTCATGTACCTGGGGCCGGGCTGGGTTAACGTGGTAGGTGCTCTAAAGAAAGGCTTTACTTCAGGTATTGACACCCCCCGTCTCTGCTTCTGCTCCGGGCATCCTCTAGGCTCGAGCGGGACGGTGAACCCTGGAGGTACGACCCCCGCTTCATGTCCAGCTTTGAGGAGGGTCCGGAGCTGCACCGTGACCCCTGTGGGGACGAGGGGGACCGGCGCAGCGTCCACAGCGAGCTCTCAGCGCAGAGCCTGCACAGCCGCCGAAGCAGCAGTTTCAGCTCCCACTCGCAGCAGGTCAGCACTCGGGGGCCAAGGCCTCCAGGGTGCGTGGGGAGGCTGTGTGGAACAGGCCTGCTTATTGGAAGGCCCTGTAGGACAGACAGACAGCCACCATCCTCGCTCAGTTCCCACACAGCGCCCCTATAGGACAGACAGACACCCCTATAGGACACAGTAGAACCCCATAGGTTCCTAAAGCTGCCAGTCTTTATAGGAGCATATTACTTCATTCTTCTCCCAAGGAGCTACTGGTGGATCCTAGCCACTGACCTTTCGTTTTGCAGCTGAGCGCTTGACCCTTGTGCCCCCAGGAGCTCTCCTTGTTACTGGGGTGGTGGCTGTGCGCCAGCAGCTCGGTGCCACCTGACAACGGCCCCATGTAGGGGACATCCGAGGCTGTCCGTCTTTCTCCCACTGCTCCAGCACTCTCTCCTGGATGCTGTGGTTCTGAGAATGTTGGTAGGGTGTTGTCGTGGGTTATGTGTGTCCAGGTAGAGCCCACCAGTGCAGCGTGGCAAGCAGAGGAAGCTGTCTGCTGCTGTGATGCTGAGTGACCACCGAGGCCTCACCGGGGCACTGGGCAGATGGGGGAGTGTATACTTCAATTCATCCCGGTGCTCCTGGGCTTCACAGTGAGCTCAGGTTTAACTGTACTCCTTTGTTTGATGTTTTTAAGAGTCAGATTTACCGAAATCACAATATGCCTATCAGCTCCTATGATGCCCCAGCTCCGCCAGGCGATGACGGTTACGACACTTACGGAGACAATTTCAACGGCGGGCAGGGCTTCCCTGAGTACGGCTACCCTGCGGGCACCAGCTGGCCCATTGTGGACCCAGGTGGGTGTAGACGGGGACGCCAGGTCCCGTGAGGGGACGGGCTGGAGGCCCTGGCCATTGAGTCCACTCCAACTCAGTGACCCTGTGTAGCATTCCCGATGTGATCAGTCTTAAAAAAACTTTGTGTTGTGAATTGAGTGACAGTTTCCAGAGCAGATCCTGTCTTGAAATTCAGCAGTTCACACAGTGCGTTTCATTGCAGTGTGATCCCCACTGCCACCACCCCCCCCACCCCCCGCAGCGGGATATCTCTGCTCCGCTTTCTCCCTCTGATTCTGGTTCTCATTCCGCCTCTCTGCACACTTCTCAACTTTGTCCTCCGGTCAATGCTGCCCTTTGGACCTTGAATTGTTTACCGTCTATGGTGTGCGTTCCTCACTGCTGCTGCCCGCCCGCCACAGGGGGAGTTCAGTCCCAGACTGAGGCTGTAACTGTCTGTGTGAGTGGACAGTCTTCTCTTTCCTGAGGAGCAGCTGGTGGGTTTGAACTGATGGAGCCCAGTGCTGTGCAGCCCAGTGCCTGACCCACAGTACCACCAGGGCTTGGTCCATAGTTGTTAAGGTCGTTTAGAATCAGTGACTTGTAATTCAAAGGCAGTTCATTATAATGAGCTCAGCTGACTGCTGGGCAACTTGGTGTTGTGGGCGTCTTGGACACCCCAAGCCATCTGCCTAGTTCAGAAGCGTCAGTTGATTGTTTGCCAACTTCATCATAGCTCTATCAAGACCCAGTTCCCCCGAGAAGTTCTCAGTGCCCCACGTCTGTGCAAGGTTCGGTCCTGGAGGGCAGCTCATCGAGGTGATTCCAAATCTGCCTTCGGAGGGACAGCCAGCACTGGTTGAAGTGCACAGCATGGAGGTAACAAAGCTGGGGGCTGCCCCGCTCTCCCGCGTCCCCGGCCCTCTGTGGGCCTGGTGACTGGTCGTTCTCTAGTTAGGAGACACTTGTCCTCCCAGGAGCCTCCCTGTGTGGCTGACCCTTGTGTGGGCCTAGTCATCCATTTTCACTCCTGCCTTGGGCACTGGGCAGGGAGCCTCTGCATGTCCGTCTATCTGTGCTCCCCAAGACACCACACTGAGGACTGGCAGACAGACTGCCGGGGCTGCAGCCCAGCCCCCACACTAAGTGGACTTCAGGATGTTTGGAGGAAAAATGGGTCTCACTGCTTAAAGCTTAGAAGCACTGCTCTCCCATTATGACCGCTGCGTCTTTGTGTGCAGTCCAGAGTCCTGCTGTCTTCACAGGGTCGAGGAGGGCGGGTGAGGGAAGCGGTTGTTCTCCGACTGCTCCCCTGTCTACAGCACCTGCTCTGATGACCCCCTCCCCCCAATGCCTTACAGACGCTGCTACAGCACAGCCCGGAGCAAGAGGAGATGCGTGCCTTCCCGGGCCCACTTGGCAAGTATGTGCCCACCCGGGGGCTCTTGACGTCTGTAGGCGCGAGGTGGCCGCTGCAGGGCGTGGCCTTGGGTGCAGGTACTGTCGGGCACTGAAGGCTTGTTCTCTTTGCAGAGACGACACCCATAAAGTGGATGTTATTAATTTTGCACAGAACAAAGCTACAAAGTGTTTCCAGAACGAAAGTATCATTGACAAAGGGTCCGCCAGCCTCCTTTGGAATTTGATCATTCTCTTGTGCAGACAGAACGGGGTACGTCGCTCTTGGTGTCTAATAGGTCTGTGGGCTGGGGAGCCCCTGCCCTCCTGAGGGAGCTGTGCACGGTTGGCCCCCGGGAAGGAGCTCCCAGCATGCCCTGGGGAGCGGGGCCGTGCACATCCTGACTGTCACCTCACCCATTGGCCCCACCCCTGCAGACCGTGGTAGGGACCGACATCGCTGAACTCTTAATGCACGACCACAAGACCTCGTGGCTTCCTGGAAAGTCGCCTAACGAGGCAAACCTGATCGATTTTACAAGCGAGGCTGTGGAGCAGCAGGAGGAGGAGGCTGGGGAGGCCCAGCTCGCGTTCCTCACCGACAGCCAGGGGGCCGGGACCAGCAGTCTGGACAAAGAAACGGAACGCTTCCGAGAACTGCTGCTGTACGGCCGCAAGAAGGTAAGGGCGGCCTCCGGAGCGCTGCGGCTTCTGTGCGCTGCGGTTGCAGGCTGGCTGCCTGGACCCTGGCTCCAGTGGACGCTGGCTGTGCAGAGAGGGCCTGTGGTGTGCGACTTTCATGCTGGGTGTGGGCTGGGAGTTGGGACGCTGACCTGGATGTGGAGAGGGTGTTTGAAGATTGGGCATCGAGGGCTCAGCTTGTGGAGACCTGGGGAGCCATGACAGGTGTGCACCCTGATGGGGCACACTCGTGGGGGTACCTGGGAGTCCGGGGACAGTTGGTGCAGCGGTGCCAAGATGGGGTGCACAGGAGGAGGGCGTCGAGGGGGTTAAAGCTGAGGTGTCTGTGTGGTTGTTCTGAATGACGGATATTGGATGGGCCCAGAATCCCTAATCCACGAAGAAAGTTTGTATTTGATGAACAGGCACTTTAAATGCTGATGTTGACAGCTAATTCAGCTGCTGTAACAAGGTCTCTCCTGCTTAGTCCGAAGTCCCACGTTCGCACTGTTGTGTGGGATGAAGATGTTTAGTCTGAAGTCCCACATTCACAGTGTTGTGTGGGATGAAGATGTTTAGTCCGAAGTCCCTCCTGCAGGTCCTGCCATGCTCAGCGGGGACCCGCAGAGTCCAGGGGCCACTCCAAGGTGGGGTTCAGGCAATAGGGATCTGGGGACTGCGCTAAGCTGAGGTCTCGCTGATGCAGAGCAGCGGCTGACCTGAGCTGGGGGTTCGCTGATGGGGAACTGGAGAGCCTTCCAGAGCTGGGGTCTGAACCCATGTCCTGGTCTCTGTGCTGGAAACATACATGTGCAAAAACCCACAGCCAAAGCCTGATTCTCCTTCACTCTATGGACCACAAGGTCAGTGGTTCAGACTCACCAGTTCCTCCTTGGAAACCTTTCCAGGTCTCTGTGGGTCAGAACCGACTGGAAGGAAGTGCTGTCGTGTGTGGTTGGGTCCTGGCTCCCTTGGTGTCAGGACCTCAGCTAACTTGATACATGAGCTGCTCTGAGCAGCCCGCCTGCATGCCTACCCCTATACCTACCGGATGTTTTTGTAGGATGCATTGGAGTCCGCTATGAAGAACGGCCTGTGGGGCCACGCTCTCCTCTTGGCCAGTAAGATGGACAACCGGACGCATGCCCGAGTTATGACCAGGTAGAGGAGCCCACACCTGAGCGCCCCGACCTTGCATGTGCATGGCCTTCTGTGAGCCTCCCCCTGGCTGTCCGGTTGGCTGGTTTGGAGGATTTCTAACTGCGTGGCTAGTAATGCTTGAGATTTCAGTGCTGTTACCATCCGCTGCTTCAGTAGCTTAAGAGCTGAGATGCCTGAGATTCGCACACTGTCTGGCTACGGTTTTCTGCAGTCGTTCCGTACAGCAGGGGTCGGACCTAGGCTAGCGGAGCCCGAGTTGAGCCTCCTTTGTGTGTATATCTAGATTTGCCAACAGCCTGCCCATTAACGACCCCCTGCAGACGGTTTACCAGCTCCTGTCTGGGCGGATGCCGGCTGCGTCCATGGTGAGTGTCCCCTCTGGTCCCTGGAGGACTTTCCTGCTGCTCCTGTCACCCTACCCACTGTGCTCTCCAAGGGGCGCAGCTGTCCACAGGCTAGGATGCAGGTCTCTATGTCTCCCTGTTGCAGTGTTGTGGTGATGAGAAGTGGGGAGACTGGCGGCCACATCTGGCGATGGTCTTATCCAACTTGAGCAACAACCTGGAGGTGGAGGCCAGGACCATGACCACCATGGGGGACACGCTGGGTAAGGGGCCATGCCACTAGGACCATGATCATCATGGGGGACATGCTGGGTAAGGGGCCAGGCCACTAGGCGTCTGTCTTTCTCTGCCCATGAGCATGCCCAGTGCTGAGACCTGGCCTGGCCTGTCCATCCCCACAGCCTCCAAAGGCCTCTTAGAAGCCGCACATTTCTGCTACCTCATGGCCCAGGCTGGATTCGGGGTTTACACCAAGAAAACAGCCAAACTGGTCCTGATTGGCTCCAACCACAGGTGAGGGGCCGGCATCTCTTCCCTCCTTGTGCATGCCCGCGTGTCTGCTTGTCCGGGCCCACGGCTCCAAGACAGGGCTGGAGGAGTGCCCAGCGTCAGGGACGCCCAGTGTCCACAGTTCTTTGAGCCCCGCTCAATTCTGTCTCTCCACAGTTGGCCGTTCTTAAAGTTCGCCACTAACGAAGCTATTCAGAGAACAGAGGCCTATGAATACGCGCAATCCCTCGGGGCCCACACTTGTTCCCTGCCTCATTTTCAGGTCCGTGTCTGGGCTCTTGAGGAAAGGTGATCGGAAATGCTCGAAAACCAGCCCAGACTGGATCCAAGGCTGTTTAATGTCTTAAATAAATATTAAAAACTTGGCGCACTTAGTTCCAAGTATGATGTGTGCTGAGAGCTGCCCTTGAGTTTATGAAAGAAACCCCTTAGAGCACTGGGTCCGCAGACAGCCTTCTCCGGGGGGGTATGGTGGGTGCGCTCCTGATTTCACACCAGGGGAGTCCCGGTGGTTACATTCAGGGTGCTGCCGGAGGGTTCTTAGAGGCCTCTGGAATGGGGGCTGGCATCACTGTTGGTGGGGAGGGGTCCCTCAGCGGTACCTGGAATTGAAGGGTTCACCACTGACAGCACTGTGGCCAGGTGGGGAGAGCTGGGTCACTAAACTTCTGCTTATGACAGGTGTTCAAGTTCATCTATGCCTGCCGGCTGGCTGACATGGGACTAACCACACAAGCCTTCCACTACTGCGAGGTCATTGCCAAGAGCATCCTGGCGCGGCCCCACGCCCACTCCACCGTGCTCATCGGCCAGCTCATCCAGGTGATCAGTCTACCTCGGGAGGGTCTTGTGGGGTCGGGGGTGGGCGCTGCATCTCTGTAACTTCTCTGAAGCAGTTTAGTCAGCTGGTGGAGAGGTGACAATGAGAGCATTCCTGAGGTGTGACCTGGATGGAGCCTGGCACCCCCATTGCAGTGGTACCAGGGTATGGGGTTCAGGGGTTCTGAGGCTGTACATGTTTACGGGAGCAGACAGCCTCATCTTCTCCTGAGGGGACCGTGGAGTTCAGGGTGCAGTGCTTACCCGACATCTTAGAGAAGGACGGTCCCCTCACGGTGGCTCTGTCAGTGTGTCCTCCTTCCTTTGGGAGTAGCATCACTGTGAGAACGTGGGTCTACGATGATGGCTTTAAAGTCTCTTCTCATAGAAACTTGCAGTCGCATATTAAGTGAGTCCCCCATCCCATCCCCAAACTGTGATTCACACATGTCCAGTGTGTGCTGCTGGCCCACCCACCGCACGCCTAGTCCACCTGCCAGGCAGGGTGGTCAAACAGAGGAATGGAATCGGGGGGCTGGCGAAAGCTCCCCAGGTCTCCCCGGGTCCAGCTGGCAGTGCTGGGTCTGCTGGTGCTGAGAGCTGAGCCTGTAGGATACTGCTCAGGGAGACACTCGTGCTGTCGGCCAAAGGGGACAGTCCTGCTTCTGTGCCCCTGCAGTCCCCTGTGCCCCCTGCCATACCCCACAGAAGCCCAGGCTGAGGGCAGGCCCGTGGCACCTGGTGTCCTTATTGTCTGTGAAGCTGGCAGCGGAAAGCAAGGCCTTCTTTTGGTGTTCGAGCTTCATCGAGGACTCTGTCCATTCCGAGGCTGGTCCACACCACCGTACTAAGTGTACACACTTAACAGAGCAGGTGGCTTGGCCAGGGGAGGGTCCAGTACTGCCCTTGTGATGCAGGCGTGGCGCGGGTCAGTCTGTCGTGAACACTCTCCTCCCAGCTGCTACACAGAGACTTTGAAGGGCACATCCCATGAGCATGCTTCCACAACCTCATCTCTGATTTAACACAGAATTCTGGGGAGGCGCTATAGGATAAGCATTGGACTGCTCATCACAAGGTTGGCGGTTCAAACCCACCAGCTGCTCCTGGGAAACCCTCCTCAGGGTTGCTGTCTGTCAGTCGACCTGGCCTTTGTTCAGGTCACAGGGAATCTGGGGGGTGTTGTTGCGGGGGTCACAGGCTATATTTTCCCCGTGGCTAGGTCGCTTCCCAGTTACGCCTCTTTGATCCTCAACTCAAAGAGAAACCGGAAGAGGAGTCGTTTGTGGAGCCCTCTTGGCTGGTTCAGCTGCAGCAGGTGAAGAAGCAAATAGAGGTAGGGCTGCTGGACACTGGTGGGTCCCTTGTTCCTACTGAGGGTACCAAGCTGCTACGAGTCATGACCGTGGGCTCGTGGGGTGGGGACTCACAGCCGTGTCTCTCCCCAGGAGGGTGGTGGGGCCTGGCAGCAGGATGGAGCCATCCCCACCCAGTGTCCTGGCTCTCCGAGCTCTGAGATGGAGCAGTATGAAGGCCCAGGCCCCAGGCAGCCCGCAGCTCTGGACCTGGGGAACCCACTGCTGACGCTGCCAAGCACGGAGCTGTCTGGACCCAGTGAGCTGCTGCCTTCAGGTGAGCCCCGAGGTCTCAGTGCCTCTTCCTCCTCCCTGTGCTCAGCCCTGGGTGACATTTCGACACTGACCGTCTGCTGGATGTGGCCATATGAAGAGCTCAGGGGCTGTGATGTCAAGAACCGGCATCTTCTAGTCACTAACAAGACTGTCCTTTCCTGTGTCCTTCCAGCTCCGCAAATCCCTCCTTCCAGGGTGCCGATGTTCCCAGTGCCTCCCCCCGGCCCAGTTGAGCCAGGGCCTGTCTGTGTGCCCCCGGACTCCACGCTGGGTTTTCCAGAGCCTGTGTGGTCTGATCCTACAGCGCCGTACCCAGGCCAGCAAGATGAGTCCGGGCGCCAGGACCCAGGTGGGTCTGCAGGCATACCGTGGCTGCCAGAGCCACGTTCAAGGGTGTGCCCAGTGTCATATGTCTCCCTGTAGACCCAAACTGATAGAAATTAGAGCTGGTTGGCTAAGATTCTTGTCAAAGTGGGAACGGCAGCGTTGGTTTTCTGCTTAACACAGCCGTTCAAGGCCAGGTGAGCTTGTGAGCACTGAAGTGAGCCACCGTTACGGGGACAAAAGCGACAGCTACAAGGACAGTCTTTCCCTAGATCCCAAATATTTGTTAGCCTTGATTTCAGAAACTAGCCTGCATTTGTGGGGAGTCTCTTGTGTCATCCTGAAGGACCTGCATCATCACTTCTCTCAACAGGGACCTCATCACGGGAGTCACCCATGAGAAACTCTCACGTGGAGTGGGGAGAAGAGGGTTGTGGTGGAGATGTGGTGGACGTGGTGCCCTCCTCCCACAGTGTGAGTGTGTACTCGCCATTGTTCCTCTAGGGGGTATTCACCCGGTGCCTTCACGCAGTTAGCTAACGAAAGGTTTTCGAAAGCGCCTTCAGTCCTTAACGTGCTGGGAAGTATGTGGTGAAAACCACGCCTGGGGAAGAAGAGGGAAGAGTGAGTTCAGAAAAAGCAGCTCCTCAGCCAAGTTGAAGAGAAAGCCGAGCGTAACAAAACCCTTGGATTCCTTTTCATTTCCCTAAAGCGGGGAAGCTACTCCTGTGTGTGAACGTTTTGTTCTTCACCGGCCTTAAAATCCAGAGCCCCCTGTCAGTCACCTGTGGACTTAGCTTTGCAGCTCTAGTCCTGACTGCAGGGACAGAACATCTTAATCGAGCTGACCTTCTGGAACTTTCTCTCCAGAGGCGACTGCAGTAGTCTGGAGCTTTCCCTGATACCCCGCTAATTCACATGTTCTGGAGGAGAGACATGAGCATGGAACCATCGAAATCCAGGGATCCATGTTCTCTCTTGAATCCGCTCACACCTGCCACTGCACACTGCAGCCCCGCCCAGTCGTTGGACATTGGCTCTTGGCTGGGTGTGAGCAGTCCTTTCCCTAGTCAGACCCCAGAGAAAATGCGAGACCCCAGCCCCACCAGTCCTTCTCTGCATCCCCAGGGATGGGGTTAGGGGCTCCAGGGCGCACCAGGTGACCCTGCCCTGGCCTTCCTGGAACAGGACTACACAAGGCAGCCGCAGAATTCGGTGCCATCCCAGGGGTGGGAGAACACAGACTCACGCGGGACACCAGCTCCAGAGATAAAGAGACCTGTGGAAGTGGTCAAACAACCAAAGAAGGTAAAAGGTGGCCGCATTGCGCTTGGGGTGGGCTGAGGTCTGGTGAACAGGTGCCTGCAGCCTCTCCCTTGACCTCTCCCCAGTTGTTACCTGGGAGTCCTGAGGGCTGCCCGCACAGCAGTGGCGTCTCCTGTCTGCTCAGGCAGCGCTTCGCCCTTTTCAATGGTCCCAGTAACTGCTTTTCCCGTCTTACTTGGTTCCGATAAAGCCAAGGAGACTTCTTGTGGATGAGGGGCCGGGTCCCCCGTTCCTCCTGGGTGTGCACCAGCTGGGTCTGCGCTCTGTTGTAGGGCAGTGGTCACCCGTGTTCCTGAAAGGTGGTGCTGGGCATGAGGCCCCTGAGGCTCGCCCACTGCTAGGTGGTGGTGGTCTGTTGTGCTGGGCGTGAGGTGATGCGCTATTGGTATTGCTCAAGTCCTACCCCCGGTCAGCCGTGCTGTTGGGCATTTTCTCATGTGCTCCCTGGTCATCTGCTGTTACAATCCCAGTGACCTGGAAATAGACCCAGATCCCATGCAGGTCATGCTGGTCGTGAGAGAAAATGTGGTTCTCGAAGCAGGTGTTAGCATGCAGACGGCTGCTGCCTGCCCTGCTGCCGTGATCCACAGCGAGGCAGGGGCTTAGATTTGGGGATGTCCACCTCCCATGCTATTGTAATGTGACGGTGTGGTGGTCTGCTGATTTCTGTGGTTAGAGTGTTGAGTCCTGGTTCTCACGTTGGCTCCCTGGGAAGAAGAGGACAGAAGCCTACCTGCCTGACGACAAAAACAAGTCGGTAAGTGGGTGCTGCAGGGTCCCCGACAGCGCGGGGCACCCAAGGGGGCTGCCTGCCCCGGACGCTGACACGCAGCAGCTGCAACGCCGATGTTTTGAGGTGTCTTCTCCGGGGGAAAGCCTGTAGTTACCTGATTGTAGTTCTGGTTGCCTTCAGTCTACTCCTTTGTGTTTTTTTAAATCTTGGCAGATTGTATGGGATGAAAAGAAAAACCAGTGGGTGAATTTAAATGAACCTGAAGAGGAGGTAAGTTGTCACTTCAGATGTCCAAGTGTCATACTTTCTATAGGACAGACTTGGGCACTTTGGCGCCCCCGTTGGAGACTGCTAACTGGGATGTTTCGGGATGGGGGTGGCGGGTGTACCATGGAGTACATTTCTGAAACTGGCTCTCCCTTTGCAGAAGAAGCCTCCGCCCCCACCTCCAATGGCGTTGGCCCCTCAGGCTGCTCCTCCCGCTCCTGGCGGTCCCCCCAGAGCCACTGTGAATGTATTTTCTAGAAAAGCAGGTAACGAAGTCAAACCCTGAGGAAATAGAGTATGTTTGGAGTCCAGCAGTGAGAGCCTAGGTGTCAGGGCAGTTGGCACATTGGAAAAGGAAGGCTAACCTTGCAAAAAGGAGCCAAGAGGTGAGAAAATTCTAGTCCTGCAGAGCTCTGCACTGTCTTCTGCCAACCAGTCCTAGTGCCGGCCTGACAGGCCCTGAAGTACTGTGGTGTGAGGCAGGACCTTGTCCAGTGGCCTTACCCACCCAGGTCTGCGGTGGCTGACAGGACTCTGATGCGCTATGGGGCGGGCCAGCTGGGCCGGGGGTCACCTGGCCTGCTCTCCTGTGGGATGGCATCAGGCAGGAGCCGCGTGTTGAGGAAGGCCATGTGGGGCCTGAATTTGCCTCCTGTTACCTTCCCCAGCGGGAAGCAGAGCTCGCTACGTCGACGTTTTGAACCCGAGTGGGACCACGCGAGGTGAACCTGCCCTTGCTCCCACAGAGATCTTTGCTCCACTTGCTCCGCTCCCAGTCCCGGCAAAACTGTTTGTCCCAGGCGCAGGTAAGTCTCTGTGACGGCTGCATGACCTGTGACCCTCCTGAGGTCACCCGCCGTCCAGTGCTCTTCTGAAGAGTCCTGTCTTGCTCATTTACGCCTCCTTCTGTAAGTGAAACCCTAGTCCACTTTAGACTGAGCAATAGCTGATGGCCACATATGTCCCGTTCATAGATACCAATGAGCCCCAGCCTGTAGGAGTTGGGGACCCAGGAGGGCAGATGCCAGCCGGGGGGCAGGCCAGGTTGGAGCCCACTTCAGAAACTAAGGTGAGCTGGGAACCTGTCCCCCTCCCACACCAAATAAAGATGACCCCTTCCTTAGTTCTGTAAATAGATGTCCATCATTGTACCAGGCTTCCTGTTGAACACCCACAGCGCTCCCTGTTGGACAAAGTAGAACCGCTCCCCAGGGCCAGCTGCCACCTCGCCCTCTCTCCCTGTCTGTCTGTCTGTCTCTGTAACTTGTGGGCTTGAATCACTGACGTTTGATTAGCAACCCACTGGGCCCTGCGGGCTACTTTGAAAACCCACTATGAAATTTCAAGTTACACCTGTGCTTGTCCCCTAGTTCCTTGTCTCCCTGAAATTGTAGTTGTTGTTAAGTGCTATGTAGTCAGTTCTGACTCGCAGTGACCCTGTATGGGGTTTCTGAAGAGTGGCTGGTGGGTGGGTTTGAACCACTGACCTTGCAGTTAGCAGTCCAGTGCTTACTCTGCCTCACATAGAACCTGAAATACCTAGCTTCAGACTGGTCTTTAGAGTTGGGCAGACTTTGGAGTCCACGTCTGTCTTTCCAAGGGTTGCTGAGTCACATGACCCCTGCCTCTGGGTTCCTCTGGGAAATGGAGCTCTGCGTGAAGCTAAGGCCTTCAGTCAGGACAAGTTACGGCAGGCAGAGCCCAAGGAGCGCTAGTTCTCAGCTGCGTGTGAACGACCTGTCGGTTGTCTGGGCCTGATCACTGCCACGTTTGCGGTTTCTTTTGGCAGACTGTGAATTCTGCTGCACAGCCTCTACACGGCTCCGAGCTGTCGTCTTGCGACACTGACATGTCCCAGGGAGGACAGGTGAGGAGGGGGCCTTCCCAAGCCTCGGTCAGCTGGTCCTTGGTGCTGAGCACTGCTCCTTTTCACAACAGATGGGAAAGGTAGTTTAGGATTTGTCTAGAGCTTGAAACAAAACCACACTTGTTCAGGAGCCTGCGTCCTCCAGGGACCACTGAGGGGATGGGATTTCAGTTTCTATCCTTCCCTCCACACACTGTGTCCTGATGATGCCAGTGCAGGCCCAGGCCACACGAATGACTATTCCTCCGTAAAAGCTGTGTCAGCCTTCTGCTAGCTCTAGCTGCTTCCCTGCGGGATGGATGTCGCGGCGTTTGGCAAGGCTGCCCTCCCTGCCAGGTGGGCGCCCCTGGTGGTGACTGGCCGCCTATGTGTTGTCTTACTGTTTTGTAGCTTTCACGCTGTAGCTCAGTGAGCTCGCTGTCACAGGAAGTGAGCCGGCACTTTGACCAGGTACTGGCGGCTGGCTCTCTCCACTTAATGCCAGAGTTGGCTCTGTCATCTTTGCTTTGGTTTGTGAGCGCTGGCTGTGCCTAATGTGACTAACACCATCCCTGTTGCACTGGGCCCTCACCTAACCACTGGCGTTGTGCTCTCCTGAAGTGTCCCTCTGGTGTCCACTGTCCAGGGCTCCCAGTGGGAGAGGAGGGCTGTGTTTTCTCATCTAGGGAGAGAGACCAGGGACACCAGTCATGGTGGGAAATGACTCAGCAGGGGCTGGGAGGGTCTGGAGGCTGCCCCAGGGACTGGCAGGACAGCTGGGCTCGCCCCCTGCATGGTCCAGCGCTGCTGCATCTCTGGGCCCCGTGCTGGCATTTTCTGCAACCACCTGGTGATGGAAGCCTACACAGGTGTCTTCAGGGTCCTCACAGGGCAAAGGACACCTGGCCTGCCGGTACCACCGCCTTGTTGACCGACTTCCTGTGGTTTGCAGGTACCTGCAGGGGGCCCTCCTGGGGGAGCCGTGACCTTCTACAACCCTGCCCAGTTTGCACAAGTAAGTGAGCGCAGGCTGGCTGGGGTGGCTGGTCACTGCTGCCTGAGCTGTGAGGTCCCCACCCCATTCTGCAGACCTGTCACAGCTGCGGCCAGCCTGCCCCTCCCTGCCCCCTCCTCCCTGAGCCCCTCTCTGATGCCCCCCTCCTCCCTGAGCCTCTTCCTACCCCAACCCCTCCCTCTGTGTACCTCACTCCTTAGACAACCCGCCCCCCTGAGGGTGTCCCTGACTGGACTTTGGGCTCGACCTCTTCGTGTTCTTAGAGTTGAAGGTGGTATCCTGCTTCTGGAGCCACAGTTGTGGGAGAACAGGTCTCGACTCTGTACCTCTCTGGAAGCTGGGGCCTTGTGTGTAGACTGTTCCTTCCAGGCCTGGGCCCTTTGCAGTCTCTTTGCCTGTTGAGAACAGACTCATGGGCGGGTTTGTGGGTACTGAGTAGTGGACACAGGTCTCTGGAGACCTTGGCATTCAGAATGGAAACTTCTCTGCCCCTAACTTCCGGGGACATGTCTTGTTCGCTTCACCGTCCCACCCCCACCCCGTAGGCTCAGCAGTGCCACTCCCCTCTGCCTGCTGCATCGCTTCTCAGGGACACGACATTAGTGGACATTGGTGGCCCTGTCCGGCCCTGTCAGTCAGCTTTTCAGCTTCTGGGGCTGGTGGTCTTCTTCTCCCCTCAGATTCTTGCAGCCCAGCCCCTCAGAGTGTCTGTGGGGGTGGACTCTGAGCCAGTGACCTTTGCAGAGCCCGAGGCTCCGCGGGAATGCCGTGGGGGTGAGCTGCTGCAGGCACGTCACTGCTCGTCTCTTTTCAGATCTCGGCTGTCCCAAGCTCGAGGATGGGGAGGACTGCCCAGAGGAAGCACCTGGCGTTGAACTAGAGTGCAGTGCTGGGTAGCCCAGAAAGACTGATCTCCCCCAAGGGTGAGGCCGGCTGCAGCATAGACACCACTGTAATTCAGAGCCGGGGACGCAGGCCGACGCTCTGAACTACCGTCAGTTCCTTCCCACTTCCTCTCTGATACTGGATGAAAAGAGCCAGTCTCCCACCTGCAAGAATGATTTCAGGATGCCCGTTTTTAATCATCCAAGGACATGCTAAGGCTGTCATCGTAACCGTGGACGGACACCATGTGCAATGAAGCTGGACAGGCCCCTGCTACTAGGTAGAAGTGCCTTCCGTTGCCAGGCTGCCGTCCAAAGCTGCCCGGAGCCCTGCCCTCGCCAGCCCCACCTCGTCTCAGACCAACGAGTGTCTGGCTGGCACGGGGGGCAATGGCCCTGGTACTTGGTCTGCCACCAGAGGTCTGCCTGTCCTGCTTGGCATCCAGCAGAACCACGTGAGCTTGCTTCACTCTTGTTCATCTCAGAGAATACTCTTTTCTCAGTCAGCATCTGAACGACAGTGGGGAGCTTCCCCCCAACACTTGGCGACTGAAGGCACTTGTGAGTGGCAGCAGCCTGTCCACCTTCCCTTCCTGTCCTGTGACCTCATAGGACCCAAGTGATTTCACACCATCAAGGGGGCTGCCTCCGAGCAAAGCGCCCCAGCAGAATCTGCTCCAGAGTGACTGGCAAGCTGGATGGCGGGGAGGGGTCCAGGGCAGCTCTGGCCGCTCTTCAGACCTGCAGCTGCCACATCGTGTAAGGGGCTGCTGATGTCTTGAGGGTAGGGGCTCCAAACCCTTTCTTGACAGACACTCTGGGGTCTCATCTTTGTTTGTGCCCCTGAAGTCCCCACAGCCAGGTCTTCCATAGCTGAGGCAGAATCAACTCTTAGTCCTATACTGCGACCAAGGAGTGTCTAGGGACTCGGAACTTTAGAAGACTCCGGCAACTGTTCTTAAAACTGAAACTTTGGAAATACTTTAGAAATCAGTAGGCCATCATTTCTGTAGGTTCTGGGGTCCCTCCCCCTGCCCACCGAGGAAAGACACGGAGCCAGTGGCTGGCCCCTTCCTCCCTTCTGCTGAGGGTGTCTGCCGTGTGGGCTGTGTGTCCTGTCCCTGCCCAGCATCCTGTGTAGACTGCCAGCCACTTTTGATTCCAGACGCTTCCTCCGAGGCGGGAGCTGCTATATTTCCTAAATGCAGATTGTTAAATAAACTATTTTGCGCTGTCAGCATTTTGGTTTCTTTGGAGCCGGGGGATGGGGGAGTGGAGGGGGGGCCGGGGATGGGAGATGAGTGCTTGCTGGGGGGCCGGGGTTTCCCAGGTGCTCTGTCTAGGGCCCCACCCTCCAGCGGAGCAGGGGCGGGTTTCTGCACTCAAGCCACGGTCCTCCGACCGCCAGGGGCCGCTGCGGCGGGAACGGGACCCCCGGGCCACTCGCCAGCGTCGGTTACCAGGGAGCGCGGAGGCCGGGGCTGCGGGCGGTTCCTGAGGTGGTGGGGGATCGTGAGTTGTGGAGGGGCGCGGGGTTAGGGCCAGGGAGAGGTGTGGTCGTCAGGTGTGCGGAGGTCACGGGCGGAAGGGGCAGGACGCGGGATAGGGTTCTGGACCAGAAAGGGGTGCTGGGTCATGGGGGGGAGCGGGGTGCCGCTGTGGGGGGATGGGGTCACGGCGAGGCGGGGGGCGGGTCTGGGGATGTGGTAGTGACGAGGGCGGAGGGATTCGAGGCGCTCTGGCTCTGGTCCACGACCTCGGGCGTTATTCTCCGCAGTGGTCTCCACCGCGGGTCACGCTTCCGCTTCGCGCGGCCAAGGCCCAAGGTCGCCCTGCTACCAGGCAGGACTGCAACGAGCAGTGGTGCCGGCGCGCAGGTGAGGGATGCGGATGTGCAGGTGAGGAAGGGCAGGCTTGCATTTTGGGGCTCTGGCTGCCCTTCAGTCTTCACCTCGGGAGCCCTAAGTGAGCCTTCCCTATCTGGTAGGTGAGGAGACAGCGCCCCGGATACCCTTGTGTGGGTCCTTCCTGTACCCTCCCTGCCCAGTCCCAGGGAGACCATCAATCACCCTGCCCAGCCGTCCTCTGAAACGTGCCCATGGAATCCTTGCTGTGTGCTCTCCCCTCCCGTGTCTGTAGATGACCTAGCGATCCAGCCATGCAGCTGACCCGGGGCCCTTGGGACCACTCCAGGACAGAGAGGCAGCGCCTGCCACCGGTGGTCCCAGCCCAGGTCTTTCCTACTGTGGCTCACCTGCTGAGCCCTATCTGCAGATCCCTGACACCCCCAAGAGTGGGCCTCGCTGGCAGTCCCCCAGAGAGGCTGGGCAATCCAGACAAGTGACCGCAGGCGATGCCGTCCACTTCGGTGACTATGTCCCATGCAGAGGGACCACCGCAGCCAGGAGGAGCCATGCTCAAGGGACAGCTGCTGGCCCAGAGTCCCACAGCCCTGCCCCCCACCGGGGGCCCTGAGAAGAGCCTCTCCTTGGAGGACACTCAGGCTGTGGTGAAGCCCCTCATGCCCACGCCACCTGCCCGGCCCAGGCTGGAGCGTGCCCTGTCCCTGGATGAGAAGGGGTGGAGGCGGCGACGCTTCCGAACCAGCCAGGAGGACTCCCTGGGCCAGGACAAGGCCGGGCCCTGCAGGGGCACCCCCGGGGCCCCCGCCCGCAGCGGCTCTCCACCAGGCCTGAGCACTTCTTTACAGGAACTCCCGAAGTCCCGCCGGGCACCGGGCAGCCCCTCCTCATGGGGTAATTGTTTCTCGGGTGTGATCAGCACATCCCTGGACCTACTGCACAGAGAGGCCTCAGCTGCAGGAGCCGCCCCCAGGCTGGCCAGCGTGCTCCCCCCTCGCCTGCTGCCCACCACGGACCAGAGCGTCTCCTTGGACTCGCTGAGGATGGCCGACAAGGTGGACCCTGACCCGGAGGACTTTCGGAGGCGGGTGCAGAAGAAGCTGATGAGGGCTCACAGCAGCCTGGGCCCTAGTCGGCCCCGCAGTCCCCTGGCTTGTGACAGCTGCTCCCTGCGATCAGCCAAGTCCTCCTTCAGCCTTCTGGCGCCCATCCGCACCAAGGATGTCCGCAGCAGGTAGGCCCCCAGGAGAGAAGAGTCAGCCTCGGCCTGAACTCGTGCGTGTGTCTTCAGAACACGTGCGAGCGAGCAGCTGCATGAAGGAGGGACGAGACAGTGGAGTCTCCCCATGACCCTGCTCCCTTCCAGGACTCTCCCCATGTGTCTCAGTACCGTCGTCTCGTGTGGTAACTGTGGAGCGCAGACTTGGCTGGGCCCCGGTGTCTGTAGATAAGATCACTGGCTGTCAGCTGCCCTGTGCCTCTTGGATTCTTTCTTGGCATCTTCTATGGCTTGTGGTTGCTGGATGCCAGTGAGTTGCTTCCAACTCCTAGTGACCCTTTTATACAACGGGATGAAACACTGCCAGTCCTGCGCCACCCTCGTGACTGTTACATTTCAGCCCATTGGTGCAGCCTCTGTGTCAGTCAATCTTGTGGGGGGTCGTCCTCTTTTTCACTGACCCTCCACTTTACCAAGCATCATGTCTTCTCCAGGGATTCCTCCATCCTGATAGTATAGCTGAGATGAAATCTGTCCATCTTGGCTTCTAGGGAGCATTCTGGCTGTACTTCTCCCAGCACAGTTTTGTTTGTTCTTCTGATGGGCCCTGGTGGTGGTGATGTGCCCTGGAGTTGGTTCTAACTCATAGCAACCCTGTAGAGGGTTTCGGAGGTTATAAATCTTTATAGGAACAGAAAGCCTTGATTTTTGCCCTCAGAACTCCTGGGTAGTTTCGAACAGTGCTTTCAGTATTCTCCTCCAACCCCATGACTCAAAAGCATCAATTCTTCTATGGTCTTCCTTACTCACTGTGTAGCTTTCGCATGCACATGAGGTTATTGAAAATACCATACATGGCTTGGGTCAGGCGCACCTTAGTCCTCAAGCTGACATCTTTGCTCTTCAACACTTTAAAAAGGTCTTGAGCAGCAGCTTTGCCTGATGCAATACGTCGTTTGATTTCTTCACTGCTGCTTCCATGCCCTATGCCTCACGGATTCTTTCTTGGCATCTTCTATGGCAGTGCCTTTAAATCTGCCACCTCCCTTTGGCTCACAATGCTTTACTGAGCCCTGTGCTGGCTAAACTGTGTCCTGATGGCACAGTGGGGTCACTAGTGATTGCTAACCACAAGGTCAGCAGTTCAAATCTACCAGCTACTTGCTCAGTGAGGGAAGGAGGTGGCAGTCTGCTCCCATCAAGATTTACAGCCTCTGAACCCTACGGGGCAGTGTTCAATTCGGTGGCAGTGGGTTTGGATTTGTGTGTGTGTGTGGCCTGCTGGAGGCTTCCAGTTGCTGCTGGAAACGTGTGGAGTGAATGTAATCCAGGTCTTTCTGCAGGCCGAGACGTGCAGGCTCTTGGACCCTTTGTGGACAGAGCTTTAATAATTAATCTGAACTGATGTCTTCACGGCGCCTGCATCTTCCCCCCTATCTTCTCCCCGCCCACCCCCAGCTCTCCTGGCCTCACTTCTGAGATCAGCCAGGGGAATTCTGAAGGGCGGCCATCTGCTTTCCTCCTGAGCCTGGTCTCCCTCCTCCTATGAGTGCGCCAGGCCACCGCACAGACCCCTTCATCCCTGCCCGTGTCTGTCTCCCCTAGGCTGTGTGCACGCTCACTGCTGGTCACGGTCCTGTCTAGAAACGCCACTCCCTGATGAGATTGCCCAGGCCCTGGTACCCTCTGAGCCCTGCTCCAGCCCCTCACACCTCCCATCCTCCGCACCCTCCAGGCCCAACCCCAGCACACACGGAGCTCTGGTTCTCTGCGTGCTGACCATGGAGAATTTTGAGAAGAGACAGGTGTGGTGGTCATCCGGTTACCTTTTTATTCTATTTTTCCGTGACCTTTGTGAAGCCTCATCAGCTTGTATTTCTGCAGCCACCATAATCAAGTGTACCCACTAGGGGGCAGCTGTCTAAGACCGCCCCCAGGATGCAGTCATTCTCCCGCGGCTGAAGCCTGAATCCCAGTGTGGACCTCCCATCTCCTAGGGCTCCAGGCTCCGCTCAGTCATCCCAGGGTGGTCTCCTCTGTGCTCCACCCCAGTCAAGGCCCTGCACCGGATCTTGTCTTCCAAACAGGGCCCCAGGCCCCAGGGTCCTAACCGTAGGCTCCAGAGCCAGGCCATTCATTTGGGGCCTATTCACCCACTTCAGGCTCTGAATCAAGCCCCCATCCTCACTAGCTCAGCAGGTGGAACACACTTTTGACACCCAGCTACCTGGAGGGGCTAGTCACATGGCCTTCTGTGTTTCGTCTATTACGGGGCCTCATTGTGAAGCTGCGGCTTTGTGTGTTGGGCTGTTGTCGTCACTCACGGTCCCTTCAGACACACCAAGTGCAGAGCAATGCACTTCAGTCCTGAGTCACGGCTTCCGACAGCAGCAAACAGGAGGCCCCGTTCCTGACGTGAGAAGCATGGGCTCTGTGCGGTGAGTGTGTGGCTGGCCACACCCTCGCAGCTCCTGGACTCGGGTACGGGGAGAGTGACGGCTCCCACGAACTTTTCCCAGAGACACTGAAATGTGCCATGTGTAGACCTAAGTGACACCTTTTATGAAATTCAGAATCGAATCGATTCTGACCCAAAGCGACCCCATGGGGCAAACTCGGGCTCCTGAGATGAAGTCTGTACGGGAACAGTCTCGTCTTTCTCCCGAGAGGTGGCTGGTGCTGAACCGGCAACCTCGTGGTTAGCAGTCCAACACCTAACCCACAACACCACCAGGGGTCTGAAGACTGGGGCCCCCATCCCTGCTCCTGTACAATCCGGAGCTTAGCATGGTTTTACCGTTGCCAAGTGGTTGGGGGGCATTTCAAACAATGGTACAAGGATTTCACGATTGCAGGAAATGACCCAAGACTCAGATGTGAGCGTCCCCAGATAATGTTCCATCGACACAGCCATGCCCACGTGCTCCCATGTGGCCACTGGCTGCCTCTGCGCCGGGACCATCCGTGACAAAGACCCAGAGCCCACACGTGTACACTATGGCCAGAAGGACCCATGCGTTGAGTGTGTCCTTCAGGGCCAGGACAGGCTGGGGTTTGATATACACTTTGCAAGGGGCCCTGGGGGTGCTGTGAGCTAGATGTTGGACTGCTAAGTGCAGGGTCGGTGGTTCAAACCCACCAGCCGCTCTGAGGCCGCCTGCTCCCATGCAGAGGGAGTCCCGGAAACCCCGAGGCGTAGTTAGGTCTACCCTGTCCTGTTGAGTGGCTCGCAGTCAGAACAGACTCGATGGCAGGGGCTTTTGCCAAGCTGTTGTATATGCCTCCTCCTGTTAACATCTTGAAACAAATGTAAACCGTCCGGGAACACGTGGCGGGCATCTGTTTTCTCTGCAGCCTCCCTGACCCCACCCCCAGTGCCATCCCTCTGGCCTCCCCACCTTTCTGTGTGGACACAGGTCTCAGTGGGCAGCTGCACAGTGTTCCTTCTGTGCGACTTGGCCAGTAAGTCACCCTCAGGCTCCTTCTCCCAGGAGGTGCAGCTGGGCCCCCAGGGTGTAGGTGGCCGTGGCTCTGCGTCCAGTCCTCAGCAGGACCCTGAGGACATTGATGTCCCTCCTGCCACTCTGAATGGGCTCCGCAGGGTGGATGCGGGGCGCTCAGTCTCACCTCCTCCCCCAGGAGCTACCTGGAGGGCAGTCTCCTGGCCAGTGGGGCCTTGCTGGGCGCGGACGAGCTGGCACGCTATTTCCCAGACCGGAGTGTGGCCGTCTTTGTGGCTACCTGGAACATGCAGGGACAGAAGGTACGTAGTGACCCTAAGCCCCCACTGCACCTCTAGTGCCGGCACCAAACCCCTCTCCTGCTCACCTCAGGAGCTTCCGCCGAACCTGGACGAGCTCCTTTTGCCCGCCGAGGCTGACTATGCCCAGGACATGTATGTCATCGGGGTCCAGGAGGGCTGCTCCGACAGGTAGGTTGTGGGCTGTGTGCCGCCAAGGTGCTGCCCTGGTGCCCGTGGTGGTGGGCATGGGTCACCTGCCCTGGGTGGGTCCCCTAGGCCTCGTGGGCTGTGTGCCAGCAGGGCAGGTGGGCTCAGAGGACTCACGGTGGCTTCCTTGCCAGGCGGGAGTGGGAGACACGCCTGCAGGAGACCCTGGGCCCCCACTACGTGCTGCTGCACTCGGCAGCCCACGGAGTGCTCTACCTGTCCATCTTTCTCCGCAGGGACCTCATCTGGTTCTGCTCAGGTAGGGGCGGCCCGGCTGTGGGGGCGGGGGAGGGGGGAGGCAGGCAGGGAGACGGCCCCGGTGACACACTCTGAGGTGCTCCCTCGTCCCCCACAGAGGTGGAGTGCTCCACGGTGACCACACGCATCGTCTCCCACATCAAGACCAAGGGGGCCCTGGGCGTCGGCTTCACCTTCTTTGGCACCTCCTTCCTTTTCATCACCTCCCACTTCACCTGTGAGTTTCATGTCTGTCCCCATCACCATGAGAAGTGGGACAGCAGTGTGACCGGGACATCTGGGACTGCTGTGGCTCACCAGGACCCTGGGAGGGACCACAGCGGCCATGACAGTCTGGGTGTCCCCCATCATGTGTGGGCCTGCGTTCCAGTCCCCGCACAGGTGAACCTGGTGTCCCAGGGCTCCTGGTCAGGACGCTGGTGCTGCCCACTGTGGTCCCCACCCCAGAGAGGACAGACAGTCTGTTCAACCCAGTGTTGACCAGGCTGAGGGGTTGTCCTGGGTAGAGGGTACAGCCTCTGCTCATAGCTGAGGGGGGCCTGGCAAGCACTGGGCACCTGTGAGGGCAGCCTCCACTTGCATCTGCAGGACTTTCTACCTCCCCAGCAGTCCGCTGACCCTTCACATAGCTGCGTGACTGTTCGAGAGCTGGGAGAGAGTCAAGTGCCACAACAGGCAAACACAGTGAGCAAACCAGCCTGAAAGACTAGCTACAAGGCATGTTAGGGACCCCGGGAAGCAGGAATGTGGACTGGCTGTGAAGTGACCAGCCAGAGGTGAGGTGACAGCGAAATCAGAACATTTCCAGATAAACGGAACGTAAAGGCATCTGTAATAAACAGACCAGCTGTACAGAAAACATGGAAGTGTTGTTTGGATTCAGAACCAACAATAGACAGGTTGAGATGAACAAAGCTGACGCTGTTGAAAACGCAATTCAGATATAGATGTATTTAAAACAAACCTCCAAGGCTGAAAACAGGGAAGCAGAGATATCAGTGTATAATGAAGCCAACTACATAGCAAAAGGAGGGAATAGTGAAGCTACATAACTTCCAAATGGCAAGGAAGTCAACTAGATTTCAAGATAAAATCAGAAAGGCTATGTGTCAGGGTTGTCTCCTTTCCCTGTCTGCATTCAGTCTGTCTGCTCTGAGAAACTGGGTTATAACCATGAAGAACATGGCATCTAGACTGGAAGACGGCTCATGAACAGCCTGCACTTAGTCAGTGAGACAGTGTGCTTCCTGAAAGCAAACAGGACTTGAAGCCCTAAAACTACAGCTTTCAGTGTGGGTTACACCTGAGTGTAAAGACGAATAAGTAACATCGTGATACACAGAGAAAAGATTGAAGTGGTCAAGGATTCCGGTTTATTTGTCTCTGCTATCAACTCTCATGGAAGCAACAGCTAGGAAGTCAAGCAACGTATTGCATTGAGCACTTGGGCTGCAAAAGACCTCTTTAAAATCTTAAAAAGCAAAACTGCAAAGCTGTCACTTTGAAGACTAAGGTGCTCGTGACCAAAGTCATGGCATTTTCAGCCACTTCACATGCATGTGAGAGTTGGAACACGGGAGGATTACCTTGAACTCCACCAGTGTTGATGGAGAAGATTGAAGATGGCATGCCAGGAGAACCAACCCGTTTGTCTTAGAAGAAGTAGTGCCCGAATGCTCCTTAGAACTGAGCATGGTGAGACTCGGTTTCTAGGATTGTGGGCGTGCCCTCAGGACAGAGCAGTTCCTGGAGAAGGACATCGTGCTAGGTGGCACAAGAAGCAGTCCTTGTACCCGAGCATGGACGTGGTAGTTCCAACAACGGGAGCCAACGTAGCCAAGTTGGAAGGATGGTACAGGACCGGGCTGGGTCTTGTTCTGTTGTCCATGAGATTGCTCTGAATTATCACTGTCTTGATGGCACCTAACAAAAGCAAGCATAGACATCTATATATACGTATACACAGTGCCCACATATATACATATACACACACACCGAAGGACCTGCATGAGGGAGCTTCAAAAAGTTGGTGAAAAAATGGAATGAAAAGGGAGTTTTCCACAGAGTTTTTGATGCCTCCTCTGTGTGCATGTGGATATATGTATATATATGTATGTATGCATTTTTATATCAATAATCTGTAGCATAGTGGTTACGAATCGGGCTGCGAACCGCAAGGTCAACAGTTTGAAACTACTTTCTCCGCGGGAGAAAGCTGAGGCGGTCTGCTCCCGTAAAGATTAACAGCCTCGGAAACACTGTGCAGGGTCGCTAGGAGTCGGAACGGACTCCACGGCACATAACAACAACAATGTGTATATACATGTATGTGTAAGCAGACACATTACATACACACACGTTGTTGTTAAGTGCTATTAAGTCGGTCTGACTCAGCAACACTTAGAGGGTTTCCAAGGAGCAGCTAGTGGGTTTGAGCTGCTGACCTTGTGGGTCACTGTCCAGTGTTGATCCTACAGTGTGACCCCAAGAGTCCATATACGTATGTACACACACACATTAGTATATGAATCTATACGTATGTGTGTCTATATAAATGCATTTTATGTATAAATACATGTATGTGTATATGTGTATATATATGTATACACACATATCTACATATTTACATGTACACACACACACACCATTAGTATAAGCATTTATTTATATGTATGTGTGTGCATGTGTAGATATAGATACACATAAATAAATGCATTGTATATGCAAATACATATACAACTACATCATACACATACATGTTCACATCGTGTACACACACAGAAGGAGAAAGCTTCAATGTGAAAGGTAAAATGCCTGTTGAATCGACATGGCCGTGTACAGATGTTCACCACATGACCCTTCCAGCTTTGTGTGTTTCTGGAAACACCCAGAAGAGTCACCCAGCATCCCGCCAGCTGTGTCCTTTCTGACTGTGGTCAGAATACACACAACCAAATAAACCACCAATTGCTCTATTTCTCCAGGTACAGTTCAGCACAGCCCTCCACACCTCCAGGTGAACATCAACGCAGTGACCCCAAAGCAGAAACCCCCCCTCCCATCCTGTCTTTTTGTTGGAGAGCGAGCCAGGGCTGCAGGCAGAGCCCTCCGCGTTGACACTGATGGCCAGGCCTGAGAGGGCTGCCATAGAACCTTCTGGTGGCCTCTGGGCGTCTCAGTGAGAGCTTGTCCAGTGTCGCGGAAACAGCTTCTCCCCATGTGTGACTGGGACTCAGCCCCACCCTGTGTCTGTGTTGCAGCCGGGGAAGGGAAGGTGGCAGAGCGGCTACTGGACTACACGCGGACCATCCAGGCCCTGGCCCTGCCCAAGAGCGTGCCCGACACCAACCCCTACCGGTCCAGCCCTGGTGAGCACACCTGTGGGGAACCCTCATTCACTCTTCATGTTGCTCGTAGGACACTTTAGTAGAGAAGTGTGCAGAACCTCCGAGAACAAAGATCAGAAAAGACTAGAAGGTTATTCCGTGAGGCTGTGGGCCCGGGCAGCGGGTGGAGAGTCCACCTGTGGTGGTGTGGGCCCGGGCAGCATGTGGGCAGCCCGTCTGTAGTGGTGTGGGCCCAGGCAGCGGATGGACAGCCCATCTGTGGTGCTATGGACCAAGGCAGTGGGTGGACAGTCCACCTGTGGTGCTGTGGGCCTGGAGGGGTGGACAGACTGTCTGTGGTGCTGAGGACCCAGACAGCAGGTGGACAGTCCGCCTGTGGTGCAGTGGACCTGGGCAGCAGGTGGGTTGTGCAGGCTCCAGGCCATGGCTCTGTAGGGCCACCCTATGGACATCTGCTGAGACAAGAACTGAAGCTGAGGCAGTGTGGCCAGAGTGAAGTCCTACTGGCAGGACATGACCCCCGTTTCTGGGCAGCTGCCATCATCCAAAGACATGTGACAACAGCCAGTGCTCTGAGCCTCCTGGGGGTTCAAGGATGGGGGGCAGACAGGTCCTGCTTCTCGGGGGGTTCAGGGATGGGGGCAGACAGGTCCTGCTTCTCGGGGAGTTCAGGAATGGGGGCAGACAGGCCCTGCTTCTCGGGGGACTCGGGGATGGGGGCAGACAGGTCCTGCTTCTCAGGGGGTTCAGGGATTGGGGCAGACAGGTCCTGCTTCTCGGAGGGTTCAGGAATGGGGGCAGACAGGCCCTGCTTCTCGGGGGACTCGGGGATGGGGGCAGACAGGTCCTGCTTCTC